TAGTTCAAGTCAATAAAAATATTCTTTCCATTTTTATAATTTGAAGTTATTTGTTCCAATTTTGGTTTGCCATGTTGCATGTGTTCAATTAGTCATACAAGAAGTTAGATGATGAAGAACTATGATGCAATTTTTAAAGAACCAATCTATGACAGCAGAGAGCTCATCACATAGTTAAAGAATGTTGGCAAATGAAAATTCCTAACGAATTCCTAAAATTAATTCTTTTAAATAATTATGAGTCTTTAGAAAATGGCGCCATTTGAGTGCTATTTTAATGAAGACTAGTGAAATCAACTAATAATGTTATTAAAATTCTATATGCATTTTCTAAAATAGCATTCCCCTCTCATTAGACATTTAGAAGTGACAAATGTTGTTTTCTTTGTTATACTTCAGTGTACAAATTTTGGAGAACAAGTATGTTTTGTATGGTCTTATTGATGCAAACAAGCTGCTTCAAACAATGACATGGTTAATTGACAAGTCTCAGTTTATATATGATTCATACTCACTTATCCAAACCAACTTTGTTCATTATATAACTAAATATACTAGTTAAAAAAAAATTCAAAATATTTTTAAAAAACTTAACATATATTTAATGTCACATGCTGTATATGTACCAAATAAATGCACACAGTATAAAAAGTTTTTAAAAATACAGTAGTCTATAGCCCTTTTCCTTAATATTTTTTACATGGAATCTGCTAATCCAAACAATCTCTTAGAATATTTTCTTCATTCCAAATTTATCTTTCTGGAGATTATATTGGGTTGAACGAAAAGTTTGTTCGGGTATTTAATTCGGGTATTTACATAATTGCTTGTCTGTGTCGCCTCTTTCGTGCTTATCAAGTTTTAACTTGTTTAGGTGGACATTACGAATATTTGCATATTTAATACATAAGTTTAGTTACAGCTATTTTTTAAAATTCTGTTATCTTTTAAGGAAAAAAAACATTAAAATGGAAGATAAGAAGATGCATTTTTGACATCTCTATTATTTCCGAAAAAGAAAAAATGCGACAAAAACTGAAAAGAAGATATGTGCTGTATAGGAGAGGATGCAGTTACTGATCAAACATGCCAGAAATGGTTTTCAATATTTAGGGAAGGAGATTTTTCTCTCAGATGCACCTTGGTCTGGATGGCTTTCGATCATAAAAGATTAGTCCATAATGGCTTTAATCAAAAATGATTGCCATAGAAAAACATGAGAGATAGCCAACGTTTTAAAAATATACCAAACATCTGTTGTAAGACATTTGGCTAACCTGGGATAAACATCCTGTTATGATGTTTGGGTTCCCCATAAGTTAAGTGAATGAAACCTTATTGAGCGTGTTTCTGTCTGTGATTCACTTTTAAAATGCAAGAAAGATGATCCATTTTTAAAGCAATTAACAATAGGTAATGAAATGTTCAATGCACGAGATCTTGGAGTAAGCCAGGTGATCCGCCAGTGTTACAATCTAAAGCTGGTTTGCATCCCAGAAAAGTAATGATTTCAGTTTGGTGGGATTGGAAAGGGGTTCTTTATTACAAACTTTTAACCAACAACCAAACAATTAATTCCAATAAATATTCTCTCCAACTGGATGAACTAAAGGCTGCAATGTATCAAAAATTTTAGGTTTGTTACTTTCCCAAAATCATCTGGTCCGTGCGCTTGTTCACAAATCACAGCTTTTGTATAATTCGGCTTCTCTAAAAGTGAGCAAAACTTCCATCGTGAATATCCTTACAAAGATTGGGAATGAATTTTGTGACACCTAACACTGGATGGCAATATTTGATATTTTGTTTTTGAAAAGGTTTGTTTACAAAGATACAGAGATCCGTGGCTTGCATAATTATATAGTGTCCACTAGTGGCTAAGTGGTCTTCGTACCCTGAACACTGGGTGTTCACACCTTGCTCGGACGGGCTGGCCACGTGGAGTTTTCTGGGTTTTCTCCATGTCTGTAATGCCTAAATAGGGGCCAGTTTCCCTTAAAAAGACCTCACAGAAGGCATTCCCCTAGGCAGATCACCCAAGTGTTGCCATAACTTAACCAACAATAACAACAACGTAATTATATGCACAATAATTTCTTTTGTGGGCTTTAGATGTATTTTCTGGTACTCGAGAGACAACGATATACGGGCCAGAAAATACTTCAGATTTGGAAAAGGGATGACGGAAACGGTAAGCTAAAAATTGCCGTTCCGTTGTCTTTCATCCTGGCATGTACACATACAGAAATTATTGTTGAAATGAGCACCATCTTGCCATCTGTAAATATAAACGGCTACTGTGAATAGTCAGAAATGGTGTTGACCAGGTGTAAAAATCCTCGCCATAAATACTTTTAATCATGTGACCTGTTTGCGCTTGGATTGCAGGGAGAGGTCCGGCTCCACTAGTGAAGTTTTTACTTCAATGATACTATCAAAGTTACAGTTGTATACATGATATAGAATATAATCATTGTCTTTATATCGATAAGTGGTTTTTCTGTACTACAATTACATATGTAGTAAAAATAATATCTTAACTTCTATTATTGTATTATTAAGATATGAAAGTAAAGATACAGTCGACCCCCCTATAAGATCATAGATACGTTCCATTCTTTAGGAATCCGATTTCTTACGAGTCCTTCCAATCACAGCTTGACATGTGTGAAGTTTACGGACTATGGCTGATTGAAAGGTTTTCTTCCATAAAATTAATCGATTCTAGACTAATCCGACTCAACATTTCCAAAATACGTATATTATTTTTGGGAATAATCCGTATAAACTATGCTATAAACAAAAAATTGTAGGATTACTTACCGAGTGTGCACCATTCGACTACGCCCGTTGTTCAAAGCTTGTCTTCGTCGCGGAACAGCACACGAAACGGCGGCCGCGATTTCTGATAAATAATTTTTCGCAGAAAAATAACTTGACCTTTGGAGACATCATTAATATAAATAATTTTTATGGCCGTTGAATAAGAAGTGTTTCTTTCACAAGAAATGTATAAAATTAGTGCTGTATTAGACTTACGGTACCTAATTTACATACTGTACAGATGATAATAAACTGAACTTACTAGCCTAAAATCTCCGTAGCGTGTTGCCAGGTGGCAGAAAGCATATATATAATTATAATAAAGTTACAATAAATTAAGTTAATATATAATTATATATACAGTACCTAATTTATATATAATTAATATATAATTATATGTACAGTACCTAATTTATATATAGTTATATGTACAGACGAAACTAAACTCAATTTAGCTGCCTAAATGTCCATAGCGTGGCGCTACGGATGGCGGGAAAATAGTTCGGCTGCCCGATGACGTTTTACGTAATTATAGGAGTTTTTTTTACTTTTATTACGGATACCGTCGCAATTTTTTCACAGTTTTATAGGAATCGTAATTATAGGGGGGTGTACTGTATTCTACTGCACTTACACGCTTAGCTTTTTTTTTTTTTATATACTCCTCTAAATTGAAGAATTTTCCTTTGGCTGTCCCGTATCACATGTTTTAGGCATCCATTATTATAATCGGGATACCTCTTGTCGTAGATACATGAATATTTTCAATAAATCTCTCCAGATCTATTCTAGGTCTTTTCCAAGTAGCCACGAAAGAACATACACAAAAGCTTTTCCTGCCGTTTTCACCTGTATCACAATGACCTAGATTCCAATGACTTTTTGATTGGTGGATGGTACCATTTTACGGACATATTCACATCGAAAGTTGAACACTGCTCAACTCAGGCCAAGACTCCACTAGCATAAAAACCCTCGCCGTAAAAGCTTTTAATCACGTGACTGTGATATTTTACGTCCGAGCAGGTCATAAAACCAGCGTAAAAGCGAGTTGAGCAGTGTTCAACTTTCGACGCGAATACATCCGTAAAATGGTACCATCCACCAATCAGAAGTCAGTGGAATCTAGGTCATTGGGACACGGTGCAAAAATGGCAGAAAGTGAGCTTTTGTGTACGTTCTCTCGCGGCTACTCTAGAATAGATCTGGAAAGATTTATCGAAAACATCCGAAAGTATTCATATATCTACGACAAGAGGTATCCTGATTATAATAATGGATGCCTAAAACATGCGATATGGACGGCCAGAGGAAAACCTTTCAATTTAGAGGAGTATATAATAAAAAGCTAAGCTTATATTATTTTAATAATATGATAATTAAAGTTAATATATGAAAGTAAAGATATTATTTTTACTACATTTGTAATTATAGTACAGAAAAAAACTCGTAGAATATAATCATTGTCTTTATATCGATATATCACGTATACAACCATCTTCCGTTTCCACCAATTCACGCGCGAAGTATTTACATTCGATACTTGGGGTAACACCGTCGCCGTAAAAACTTCGCTAGCCGGTCCTCCACCGCAATCCAGACGCAAACGCNGTATATTATCTTAATAATACGATAATAAAAGTTAATATATGAAAGTAAAGATATTATTTTTACTACATTTGTAATTATAGTACAGAAAAAACTCTTAGAATATAATCATTGTCTTTATATCGATATATCACGTATACAACCATCTTCCGTTTCCACCATGTGCGAAGTATTTACATTTTCATGTGCGAAGTATTTACATTTGACACTTGGGATAGCACCGTTGCCGTAAAAACTTTGCTAGCCGGACCTCCACCGCAATCCAGATGCAAACGCAAATAGGTCATGTGATTAAAAGTTTTTACGGCCAAGGTTTTTACGCTAGTGGAGTCTTGGACTAACTCTCCCTATGCTATGGGCATGAGGTCTACGGTATTGAGACAAAATCCGATCTTTGAATATCCGAAGCTTGTTTGAGAAATGACTACGTTCACCAGAAACCATTGGCAAGAAGTGGAATTTTTGGCATAAATTATATCACGTGGCTGGCAAAGTCTAGAAAAATTTTCTATACGAGTGTTATGGGGCAACAGAGTTAATGTTAATCTAAGGTCTTTTTTTTTAAATAGGCAAATGTTAAATAATGAGCGGTTTATTCGGAACGACCGGAAATTTTGGTACTAGTAGTGGCAGCGTGTTCGGATCCACCCAGAATGCCACGCACAACCCGATGAAAGACTATGAGGTGGTGTCGCCACCTGATGATTCCGTCAGTTGCCTGGCCTTTAGTCCGGTTTCCGTGACTCAGAATTTCCTCATTGCAGGAAGTTGGGACAATCAGGTATTTGTGCTTTGCTGTTCTTCGTTCTTTTGCCCCGCGAAATCCTGGCATTCTAATCGTGGTCTGATGACTTCAGTTGAGATGCTGGGAAGTAGAAAACTCTGGCCGGACAATTCCTAAAGCGCAACAGACACACCAAGGACCCATACTGGATGTCGCCTGGAGTGACGTAAGTGCAACCAATTGTCTGTTAAAATAAATTTTGTGAATATCACTAAAAGGTGTTATGTTGCGAGGAATCTAATACTATAATGTAAAATTAGGATGGTTCGAAAGTGTTTTCAGCATCTTGTGACAAGACCGTCAAGATGTGGGATTTAAACACCAATCAGGCCATACCGGTTGCTCAGGTAATTACAAATGCTTATTTATACTCATTCTATGGCAACTGACAGATGTAAAATAGTATTAAAATACATTTTACGATTTAAGCATGATGCTCCGATCAAGACTGTCCACTGGATCAAGGCTTCCAATTACACCTGCATCATGACCGGAAGTTGGGATAAAACATTAAAGGTCAGTCGTTTATTCGTTCATTCGATGCAAAATGTTTTCACGTTTTCATAAAGAGATGAGTTGATCTGTGTTCTCTTTCCTAGTTTTGGGATACCAGAACACCGAATCCTCTTTTGACTATAAATTTGCCAGAAAGGTGTTATTGTGCAGATGTGGTACGTAAACTATTTACTATATATCAATCTTTGTTTATAGTCTTTATTGCAACTGGGGCATTTCGATTACAGGTGTATCCTATGGCCGTCGTCGGAACGGCGGGAAGAGGAATAATCATCTATCAGCTGGAAGGACAACCGCAGGAATTTAGAAAAATCGAATCGCCACTAAAATATCAGGTAAAAATATTAGAAGGATTAAAATCAATTGCTATTTTAGTTCAATTTACTATTGCTTAAAAACAACTTGTTGGTTTTCAGCATCGATGCGTTTCTATTTTTACCGACAAGAAAACACCAGGACCGGGCGGATTTGCTCTGGGAAGTGTGGAAGGTAGAGTAGCGATACAATACGTCTCTCCTCAGAATCCGAAAGACAATTTCACATTCAAATGTCACCGATCCAACGGAACCGCAAACGGTTACCAAGACATTTATGCAGTACGTATTTGGCGCCCGTCATTCTGCACCATTGAACATCCACCATAACCACACATTCTCTTCCCCCAGGTAAATGACATAGCTTTTCATCCCGTGCATGGAACTCTGGCCACTGTCGGTTCAGACGGACGGTTCAGCTTTTGGGACAAAGACGCACGCACGAAATTAAAGACGTCCGAACTAATGGAACAGCCCATCAGCAGATGTTGTTTCAATGCCAGGGGCGAAATATTTGCCTATTCCATTAGTTACGACTGGTCAAAAGTAAGTATCCTTTGTAAAATTACGCGCGGTTCCAAATAGTGGCCACCTATAATGCGAAAGTGCTGTTGATGCTAATTTAACAATTTTAAAGCATCAGCATCGGTAAGAAATGGGAAGATGAATGAAAGCAAGCACAAGGAACAAACCTATATTGTTAATAATGATGAAAGGATAGAAAATTTTCTCACTAACGGATTTAAATTTCATTAGACGTCTAGATAAAACATTGGCAATGATACTAATTCACTCTAAGAGGGCATTGTCCCTTTATTGACTTGAGGGAAAATGTAGCTGAAACTAGCTCTGTTTGGAACCGTTACCCTCTGTGCCATGTGAGAAACGTTTATTTTTTCTTTCCTCATAGGGACACGAATATTATAATCCACAGAAGAAGAACTATATTTTCCTACATCCCTGTTTTGAAGAATTAAAACCAAGAAGCAAAAAGTAATAATCCTTAAAATTGTTTGAGCATGTAAAATATTTGTTTTAATAAAGTATCTCAAATAATAATTGATTCAATATTTGATATTTATTCTTTCGTGCAAAAGGCATACTTGATTGACGGTTTTCGCCTCTGCGGTATACCGTCAGCACAAAAGGAAAACAAACTAATAAATACAAAAATGACTACTTTCGTGACTTATAAACAATTATATATTAGAAAATATTTCTTATGTCAATTAAAATATAGATGTATTACTGGCTGAATTTATCTCGGAGGATATACTATCACAGAATTGGCTTTTACTAAGGAACAAATGATTTTTTTTTTTTTGCCGTGGTGGAGATGTCAGCTGGTCGAAGCTTCCGTTCCGAAATAGCGATCTCCAAAGTTACCTGAAAATGATTATTATTTTGTAAAAAGTACCAAAAATATAAAACCAAAATTATTTCTTGAAGTTTTACCGATTCCTGGAAGAATGTAGAAACTCTCATTCACTTCTGGATCAACCGAAGTTGAAATAATTTGTACTTTGGGGAAAGCGTATGCAATGGTGTGGACTCCTGAAAGGAAAGAAGTTGTGAGATTCTAAATAGTTTAAGCTGAAATTATATAAAAAACTAAATATTTTGATAAATTTTTATCAAAGCTAAAAGTAAAGGAGAACAAGGAACAAATGTATCCACTGATGACAGTCAGTTCCTGAGAGATCTTTATCTCTATGACTAAAGAGCTAACTAAGCCAAAAAGACTCATCATGACACCCATTGGATGATGAAAAGAGTATAAAAGAGGGATATGTGCCAAAATCCATGCACATCACACATTGTCCAATATTCTCTTCTTATGAATTTGTATGTCATACTTCCGGGGATTGGAACTTCCTCCCACCAAACAGAATTGGGAAAAGTCAAGTTATTACAGAGGTAATATTATATCGTTTGTAAACGCTCTCTCTTATCTCTCATACTAGAGAGAGGATAGTTAAGATAGATTACAAATGGACTATTCCAAACTTAAAACTGTTTTTATTATTAAATGTTGTTATTCCTTTATGAACTAAGTGTCTTTGGTTTGTTCATGGCCTTCCCACTCAAAATTCCTCTAAAAAGAGAAATAAGCGTGCCTAACGCTATATGTAGGCTGGTGTCAGGAAAAACAACTTCCAGGAGTTTCTTACAAACTTCTGTTCATTTTTCGTCTTAGGAAGCCATCCGTTGATGTTGCGAGCCAATCTAAACAATTGCATGACGATTAATTAAGAAACATAGAGGTTAAGAGCTCTCTTAAAATGAATGCTGTGCCCCCTGACTTCTCACAAAATTATGCTGAGGAATTAAAGAGGAGCAGAACGGATCACACAACGTCAATACTTTACCTGACTCTGCCATCAACAGAGAACAGAGAAATATGTTTTCTTCTGACACATCGTGGTCGAGAAGCACTCTTATGGCCATCATGGCAGCGGCTCCGGTGGCTACCGTGGCATCCATCAATATGATGTAGTAGTCTTTGATGTCTTTGGGAAGTCTCAAATAATATAACTGAAATGAGGGAAGGCATTACTTGAGTTTAATGGTAGTACATTATTCTCTCTGATGGCTTAAGGTTGTTATATTTAAATTTTCTATGTATTTTACGTGCAAATCTTACTTCTGGTTCTCCGGTATCGAAATTGGTCTGTATGAGAATTTTTCCGAGCCGAACATCTTTCAGCACGTCGCAGAGTGCCTGCTCCATTGTTTCGCCTGCCCTCAGTATCGACACTCCGCAAATCTAGAATATGTTGCCAACATTCGACAAAATGTTAAAAACATTTTCTTACAAATATGATTAATTAGTCATTACCTTTTCAGTGGATATTCTTTTTCCCTGATAAGGGATTCCCTGAGGCGTATCCACTATAATGTCCTGCAAAAGATTAATATTAAATTAAAAATCAAACGAGCCGGAAAAATCTGACACTCACTCTAAAAGGCAGCATCGACAGAGCGTATTCTATAAGGAGTCTCATAAGGCGTTTGGAATAGAAAATAAATTCATCACGAGAAGTATCATTGTTCCTGATAAAAGTGTGAAGGCCACGGACCTGAGGTGTGGAAGGCAGGATGTGCAGAGTCTGCGGGAGAGGCTGGCCAGCGTGTGACTGTGCAAGTTTCGACCTGCATCGAGAAAAGAGAATCAATTGGAGGCGTTGGTAATAATCTTTTTAGAGTTAAAAAAGTAACTTACCTCAGCTTGAGGCCTCTCTACACACCAGCAATAAAATAAAAACAATTTATTATTGCAATAAGTTAAATTTTCGAAGACTAATTTAATAAATTGCATGTACGTACTAATTGCAGTTGGGTGTGAACGTGCTGAACTATGAGGCTGATTGCTATTTTGTTTTCGCCTCCTGAAAAAATTTTAGAATAGTTCTCATATAAATTTATTTCATTTTAAGAACAGATTGCATTTTCTCTCTTACAGGTAAAAAAAATTTGCTCCTGAATAAGCAAAGCACATCGGGCAGAAATATCAATCTGTTTCAAAATTTTCATAACATTTCATTTTTTTATTTCTTACATGGTGTTTATAAGCTCTGTTATCCAAAAAGAAAGCAACTTCATTTCAGTTGTAATTTTCATGTGTGACGTCTATCCATGAGTAACATAAAAGGTGTACATTGCAGTTATTATAGTATATATGTTACCGCTAAAGCTCAAAATCCGTTAATGTGCACATTACCTAGCTAATCTGCACATTAACTAGGGTGATCCATTAAAGTTGCTAAAATTGTTCTATTTCTCAAATTACCTAGGTAATGTTCAGATTATCTAGGTAATCTGCAAATTACCTACTAGGCACTCGGTAAAGTGAAAATAAGATTTTTGCTGGAACAACAGCAACGTTTCTGTACGCTTAAATTAACATAATGTTATTTATTTAATTTTCAATATCTAAAGAATCAAGTTAATACAATCAACAAATTAGTTGATTGAATCAATCATCAATCAATTAAAAAAACTTTAATACAAAAATCAAACGGTTTAAAATATTACTACAATTAGGGAAATGAATTTGCAAAACATATGATAAAATTGTACTTACTTATTAGTGCAATCTAAAGATTGGTGACACTTTGAATTACGTAGCAATTGGTTTTTGCGACAAGCACGCCTATTTGTGGTACATTTAGATTTGCAGTCACATTTTCTGAAACCCTGCCCAGTACCAAGGGATTGTTTTATTGCTGTTTGACGTAAAGATATTTCTACAGCAGGGACATCCATCTTCTTTCGTTAAAAATCTCTCTTTGCAAACACTGAATTCAGATTTTGCATACAATTGTTTTAAAATACCTGTTTTAGTATCAAGTTTATAAAAGCCATCCTCTGTTTTACTAAGAACCACAGCTAAAATTGAACGTGCATCAGTTTTTGCTCTGTCTTCTTCGGGTACTTTAATTCTCACAGCGAAACCTTCATCGACGTTTGGGTGCTTTGCATTAGAAACTGCTAACATTTTCTTTGCTTGCTTTTCTAAACATTTCTTGGCTTCATCACGCTGTATTTTCTGATCCATATTCTTTTTACAGATGATGCACAATACATTCTTACCATACCCTTCCTCTTTAGGATCTACTTCACCACAAACTGCGTGAACAAACATATTACACGATTTACACTTGTGAGCACTTGATGCTGCTTTTGAGCAAACAATACAGACTATGTCTTGTATAGTGCTCTTTACAGGCTCCGTACGAAACTGTGATGGCGATTCTGCTGAAGTTGAGAGTAACTCAGTGATGATTTCTTCAACTTGCAGAGGCGATTCCTTGGAGGTGCAGGGTAACTGAATATTCTTCGTGACTGTATCATCAATCAATGGTATAGAAGGCAGTTTAAAATTATCATCAATAAATTCTTGTATTTCTATAGGTGATTCTGTAGAAGCAGGGGATAACGGAATGTCCTCTTGAGTAAGATTTGACTGTGGTTTCATAATCACAGTCTCTTGTGAATCTTCTAATTTTTCCACTCTTCCAGTCTTCTTCTATTATACCACAAAGTGTATTACATTCAATAAAAACTAAAGACCTTGAAAAATTAGAAAACTGATGCACGAAATTTTAGCTGTGGTTCTTAGTAAGACAGAGGATGGCTTTTATAAACTTGATACTAAAACAGGTATTTTAAAACAATTGTTTGCAAAATTAAATTCAGTGTTTGCAAAGAGAGATTTTTAACGAAAGAAGATGGATGTCCCTGCTGTAGAAATATCGTTACGTCAAATAGCAATAAAACAATCCCTTGGTACTGGGCAGGGTTTCAGAAAATGTGACTGCAAATCTAAATGTACCACAAATAGGCGTGCTTGTCGCTAAAACCAATTGTATGTAATTCAAAGTGTCACCAATCTGTAGATTGCACTAATAAGTAAGTACAATTTTATCATATGTTTTGCAAATTCATTTCCCTAATAGTAATAATATTTTAAACCGTTTGATTTTTGTATTAAAGTTCTTTTAATTGATTGATGATTGATTCAATCAACTAATTTGTTGATTGTTTGATTGTATTAACTTGATTCTTTAAATATTGAAAATTAAATAAATAACAACATTATGTTAATTTAAGCGTACAGAAACGTTGCTGTCGTTCCAGCAAAAATCTTATTTTTACTTTACCAAGTGCCTAGTAGGTAATGTGCAGATTCCCTAGATACTCTGCACATTACTTAGGTAATTTGAGAAATAGAACAATTTTAGCAACTTTAACGGATCACCCTAGTTAATGTGCAGATTAGCTAGGTAATGTGCACATTAACGGATTTCGAGCTTTAGCAGTAACATATACATTTATCAAATGCAGTTACTGTATTTGATAAATGCAGAGTTGTTACTCAACATATATTTCAATAATAGTAAATACATTTGGCAAACTAATGGCACAAGATTGACCACAAATAGGGTTTTTTTTTTTTGGGACAAATGCAGCCAATCCCAATACAAAAGAGACAGTTCAATCATTGCAATCACTTGGTAATAAGCAGACGCTACCACCATTTGGAAACATACAGTATTAGAATTCAGTTATGCAATTTATTATGATTGCAAGTTAATCTGCACAAAAAGTCATTTCACTGTTTTATTTCTTAGGAAATGAGAATTTCCACCCAAAAAGCCACCCTTATTTTGTATAAAATTTACAGAAACTATCAAAGATTGATTTACAGTTTATTGTAGTATATAATTAATAACCAAGAATCGAAAGGCATGGACTAAAAATGATTTGTGGAAAATTTCAACAAGAATTTAAAAAGCAATAAGGATCCAATTTGTTTGTATAAAAAAGCAAAGGACAATTAATTGTAGCAGTAAATGTTGCTGCAGTTGAAACCAAAGTTGTGGAGTCAGAGTAGGGAGGAATTTCTGGCCAGAGGAGTCGGAAAAAATGTGTCACCTCTGACTCCCACATTTTAAATTTACTTTAGTTTTTTTTATTTAAATGAAAATAAATATATAAAAAATTTTTTTAACTTTTTAAAATCTTTTTGTATTTTGTTATAATTCATTTATTTTAAATACAAAATGCATCAATTAAATGTATAGTATTCTTTGTAGTATTTGCATTTATTAGTTAAATTATTTTGACCCAATTGAATTTGAACATTTTTGAATCATTCCTTTATTATCCCTGCTCAAAATAAGTACTCTATTTTTCCAAATGAACCAGACTAATTGATCAGAGTACATATTTTTCTTTTCTGAACAAGGGGCTGAAGTAGTTAGCTACATCGCATACTTTTTAGATGGACTAACTCTTCTGAAAGGGTGAAATTGAAGTGCAAATGCTGTCAAATATATGTAGATGTAGAATTTTATTGCCCTCCTTTCTCTTATTATTTGTTAAAAATTAATTTTTTTTTAATTTAAAAATACAAATAGTATTTTTATTATTTAACTATAAAAGTATTTGGGTAAACTCCCCAGGTTCCTTTCAGAGTTCAGAGTAGTGTGCCCCCCATAAAATGACTTGGTATTTAATTTTGCCAGAGTCGGAGTCGGCCTACTAAAATTATCAGGAGTCAGAGTTGTGGTTTTTTCAACTCCACAGCTCTGGTTGAAACATCGCATAATTTGGTCCTGACACTTACGATTAATATATTACGTATAGGGCCTAATTTTAATTGTTGATAAATCTTGAATAGGAGCAAACTTTTTATTGCAGTATTTAGCATTCTCGGCCTAACTAATACATATAAAATGAAAGGTTTTGCAGCTGTTCTTAATATCACTGGACATAATGCTTAATTCAAGCATTATGTTGACAATGTTGTAAACTGTAATCATAAAGTAGTAAGGCAATAATGAAGGCAATTAATTCAGATAAAGACATTAAAATCTATATATTAAAAATGTTTTACGAGTCTGGACTCACCCCTCGGAACAATGAGGTCGGCATGCACTACGGAAGGAGCAATGTAATAATCAAAAGCGGGCTTTACATATTTTTCGTACTGATGCAAGACTCCTTCTAAGTCTCTTCCCCTGTCCATTATGTCTCTCTTTAGCCTTCTTGCCAATCTGATGTCTGAGTCCGTGTCAATGAAAATTTTCATGTCCATCAACTGTCGTAAGAAATTTTTAATGTTATAACAAATCTCATTTTGACTAATTGCATCAAAACAGCTTAAGTGATTAACTTTGAGAGTGAAAGTTTTGAACTTACTTCTAGGAGTTTTTTATGACTGAATACCAATATTCCCTCAAATATTATAACATTTGCTCCATACATTATTTTCTGAAAAATATTTTTAAAAAACTTAACTTACAAGTATCTAACAAAACATGAAATAAACATACAATAAGCAATCTACATAGTTGAAATTGTGTTACAATAAATATGTATTGCCTCACAAAAATATTTTCTTCATAAGATGTACAGTACACATTTATATTTCAGCATTTATAATACTTTCCAAATTTTTCTTTTATATCTCTCTTTGCATTTCTTCTTTGTATTTGTTTTGTTCTGTTTTACTTTCCTAGTTGTTATAACACGGGAATCATGTCAAATTTAACTGTCTGGAAAGGCAAGTCTTGTAATATTTGACACATCAAACCCAAAAAATATCTACCAATGAGTTGCATAACTTTCCTAGCTTTTATGAGATTTTATTTTAAAAATAACATTTTGTATTACAATTTTAAATTATATAATAGATGGAGTCTCAAAGTTTTTATAATAAAATATCATATTTTTAATTATTATAAAATTGCAAGAGACTTAATTTTGAGGGTAGAGATGAGTTTTATAAAACACTGTAAATGCTAGCTAGTAACAAGTAAAATCTTCATTAAGTCTGACCCCTTGCAAGATATGACATGTGACCACCCTCTATCTCTCCATCTTGACCTTTTACAACCAAAATTTAATAGTATCAATGCCCCTTGTATACTATGCCAACTTTCATTTATCTTCCCCCATCCTGAGATATTCAGCAAAATAGATTCCAACATACACAGAATATTTTTTACTTTTTTGGGTTCAGGGAGTCTCAAAACATGGAGATGTGTCAAATTTCACCCGCTGAGGTTTTTGCAAGATTCCATTACTTTCCCTTCTTATGTATACGTAACAGCCAGGAAAGTAAAAGTCAAAAAATGTGAAGAACTCTTGAATTGTATGTTGGCTCTAATTCATTGAATCTCAAGAATGGGGTAAAGATTAAGAAACAAAATTTGGCATGGAAATTGATGCTATTAAATTTTGGAGTATGGAACTTGAGGGGATGAGGTGACACAAGTCTTACCTTGAGTGGGGTTGGACAATGAAAATTTTACTCATTATTGGTATTTACAATATTTTTTAAAATTCATCTCTACTGCTCAATATTAATTAAGCATATTTCGTCGTTTTATAATAATTAATAATATAAAAGTTAATTTTTAATAACATCTCATAATAAATGGCACCACAAATTTTTTTTTAACTTTGAGCTAGTATCATGGTGTTTTTTTAAACTTAAATATTTTTAAAGTTTATTTAAAAGTTAAATAGAAATTTTTATCATAATTCAGCAAAATTACTCCTTTTAAGCTTTTGTTATTATTTAAATTTTATATCCTAGTGTAACTGAAAAATATCAGACTTCCTAATGGTCTCCTTAACATCAAGTTGAGCCCTTGACAGTTTTCTTACCTTTTCCTTTCAAAATATTATCTTGTGCTTTTCTTTACCTTGTTTCTCAATAAGAATGCAGCAGCAGCACAAGCAATTACCAGACAATACTATTCATTCATCAAAAAATGATTTCTGACAAAATGGGGAAACCTCTACCCCCTTTGCTATTTATTTTGGTTTCAATTGGCCCAATTCATTTCATTCATTTCTATCATGCCAATCACCTGAACAACTGAACTGAGCAACTGTTGCTACTAGCTATCAATACTTTTTATGCTATCTACTGGTATGGCATACCAATATTCTGGCTGAATAAAAGCTCTGCTGTTTAGTAAAGAAAAAAAGTCTCTCATTGATATTATCATAACTTATCAAATGATTGTCTAACAATGACTACTTGACTGTTGTTCATGGCCCACAAATGTAACATTTTGAACAAACAAACCAGCAACAAAAGAAAACCATGTCTTAGAGTCAAGGAAACATAGTAAATTACTGATTTTACAAATTTTTCATATGAAGTAAATTTGTATAAACTAAAAATATTAATATTCAGTATTTTTGTATGATTTCTGTACTTTTTATATTTCTTGTCAAAACATTAAAATTCTGAATATTCTAAAGGACTAACTATAAAATCAATAAAGAACTTTCATTATGCTTAATGAGAAATTTTCAAGTTATAATTTCATTCTCAAAATTTTTAAAAACAACAATTACCATTCTTTTCTCTCTGGAATGTGACACAAAGTTATAAATAGGGACTTCAACTCTTTTGCCTTCTTTCAACTTTCTTACAGTTTCTATCAACAGGTCAAAATCAAATGCATCAGGATGGTCAAAATTATATTTATTCTGATGAGCCAATTTATGTTGTTCTTCATTCAAAACCTTAAAAAATAAAAATAATAATAAAACCAATTTTCATAACATTTATTAAGAGTTTTTCCTATTATCTGCCTGCTGTCAATATAAGAAAGGAAATATTTTATGCTATTACTTTTAGCTCATTTTTAAAAAATGAGCTAAAAGTATTACACGTTCTCTTTGTTTTAAATGGTTAAAATATTAAAAAAGAAAATCACAAATACTAATAATTATTTCTTTATGTTTCAACAAAATTTATAAATACAATAATTTTTAAAAATTACTTTTACTAAAAATACATTTTTATTGAAAATTATACTGATGAAAAATCAATGATTATTAGCTAAAAATTTTTTATTTTCCTAACAATTGGAATAAATATGGTATACTGAAAATATCTGTAGTGAGATATAATAAAATTTAAATAAACTTTATTCAAAAAAATTAATTTATGCTTAATCAGTAAACTAATTATATATATATATAAAGAATATATTTACTCAAAAATTAACTCTTAACTCTACAAGAAACTTTGTATTAGTAAGAAAAGTAATTAAACAACTTTTGTCACATTTGACAGTTTTCTAAAATGTTTTGAACTTTTTCAAAAAGAATGACAAAAGGTAATAGATGTCTGAAAAAATCTGCACAAATTTCTATAATGTAGTTTTTACCTTAGAAAAAAAAACTATGAACTAAATAGTCATTTAAAAACTGATGAAAAGCTGTACATTATCTTTTATTTTTGTAATTCTACAAGTTCTCATTGTGAAATGCAGTCAATTCAACTTCGGATGTGCAATGCAAGTGTCTGTATGCAGCTGGTTCACATTTTTCAAACTACTTAATGTGACTGATCAGCCAATCCGAGTTCTTGCCTTCTCCTCTCTTTTTGTAAATGGCTGACTCAGAAATTGCCCAAAAATCCACCATTACAATGGATTGTTGGGTAAAAAGGGAAAAAAGTGTCATCCAAAATTTAAAAATTTTGCAATAACCTTCCACAGTTTGCCTGTCTGTTCTGTCAGGAATTATTAAATATTGAAAGAAGCAATTACATTTTTGTTTTCAAAGCCTCATTGAACCAATGATGTGAAATGTTTAGATTCTGGGGCTATAGATCTGCACTGTCCATCAATCCTTCCAACTCATCTTTCGTTTTCACTTTCTACCAAATCCCTTTCTTCTCTGTTGTCATAATTCTCTCTCAAAACATTGGAATAATGCAATATACAGTCTATTTCCTTCATTTACAAAATGGTTTACAGCTTTTCCTAATATTTTATTTAATGTGTAAAAGTTGTACACACTTAGGCATAAATATCTTTGTTCATTGTCATTTTGAAAACAGCAGAAAAAAATCTAGACTGTTCTACAGCATTTCATGCATTTTAAAATGTAGCATATGCAACATAATTAAAAATTATTTCTTTTAGCTAGAGCCTGAGATATTTTATATGGATTTTTCCAGATATCCATTATCAACTTTTAGTACATTATAAATAAACTAGCAGACCCCGCCACGCATTGTTGTGGCTCAAAATGTATCTATTATAAATTTATAACACTTCCCCCGTGGGAGGGGGAATTTTTGAAAAATTTCTTCTTAGTGTACATTCTCTTGACGTACCCTATTAAAGCGCAATCAAAAACGCAAAAACCCACACCTAAAATAGTATAATAGAAGCCAAGTTCTTCACGGTAAGCCTTAATCCTGTCTCTCTCCCCCGTGGGGGAAAATCGAAAAATTTCTTCTTAGCGTACTTTCTGTTGACGTACCCTATTAAAACGCAATCAAAAACGCAAAAACCCGCATCTTAAATAGTATAAATATAAGCAGAGTTTTTTGTTGTAGGCCTTAATCCTAACCATCTCCCTTCAGTGGGGTTGAATTTTGACATGTTATTATATAGAAACACGTGCATATTCGAATGCAGCATTGTGTCAAAATTTCAAAGGAATCAGTAGGAACAAACGAACATTACATTTTTATTTATATAAATAGATAGATGATGGTCTGCTTTAGTTCATTTTCACAGAAAAGCATAATGCCTCACAGAAAAGCAAACTTAGGGCGTCATACTCGTAGCACCATCTATTGGACATAAAAGCCTTAACCTAGATTATATGTTTTAATTTATATGAATGTTTAACGAAATAACATACAGCCTATGTCCAGCCTGAAGTTCCATTCTAAATATTGGTGAAAGAATTTTTGAAATCGGATGAGTAGTTTCAGAGATTACCTGCTGCATACAAACTTACTTACATACTTACAAACATCACCTCTTTATAATATTAGTATAGATAAATTTAGATGCCAAAAATTTGAATCATCATATTATTTATTCATCTCTTTGTTTTCATTTATTAAGATATAATCAGGTCATCTTCAAAACAAATATAATGTTACAGATAGAAATATCAATTATTAGAAACTAAATCAAAACATTTAAAATATAACAAACTAGTAACTTTCATAAACAAACAGTAATAAATAAATATCATAAAACAAGATTTCTTAATTTCATGTAATGTAATAAATACAACAACATCTGAATAATGCCGTAATTAATTTTTTTTTCTATTATTTGATAATATATTATTTTAGGAACTCAGATGTTTTATGGTATTATTTTATATAAGAAATTCAGAACAAAGAATGCTACCAAAAAGAAAATATAATGTAACAGCATTCACCACTATGGTTCACAGCTGAATACTAGTCTGAGAAAAACAAAAATAATGCTAGTCTATCAAAAGTAGAAATTTATTAATTTTTTGCTAACAAAAATAAAGCTTAATGCTTTAAAAGAAATAAGATATTTATTATGAATAATAATGATGTATCATATTTATGATTATTACATAATGTTAAGTGATAGTTGTGATGAAAACTGACTGTCTTTCAGAGTTAGAATGATTTTAATTTAACACTAAACAAAATTCAACAAGTACTTTTGAAAATGTATTATCATCATCCTCAGATGATGATAATATATTGTCACTATAAAACAGAAAAAATTTGAATTTGTTTAGAAAACATGCAAAATTTTGAATATAATATTTACAATGAAATGTTTCAATGTAATGAAATTGTCAAACATTCATGACATAATATAAATACACTGCTGGCCATTAAAATTGCAACACCAGGAAGGAATGATCGTATGAACGTCAAAATCATATGACAGGAAGAAGAGGTCAGAATATGCAAATGATTAGTATTTCAGTGCATTTAGACAATGCAGAAGGGACAAACGACATCTGAAGCACTGCATGAAAGAAAAGTTGTGCAGTGGATTTCTCATTCAGAAATTGCTTTGTAAGGTCGGGGTTTCATCAGAATATCGTGTTATGACTCGAATAAGAAGAAGAAATGCTTACCAGCAAGTGTTGGAATTCGACAGAGGCAGGACCATTGCCTATCGAGAGTGTGGATTATCGTTCCGTGATATTGCCACTCGCACTGGTCGAAATCCAAACACTGTCATGCGAATATGGAATTGATGGGCTACTGAGGGTCTTACTGAACAGCATGAAGGATCTCAATGCCCTCCCATGACTAACGCTCGAGAGGACAGACATATTGTGAGGTCAGCCGTGCAAAACCGTACAACCACATCACGGACCATTAGTCAGGAAATGAGCTTGTTTGCAGCACGTCCAGTATCTGCTCGTACGGTGTGACGACGTTTGCAGCAGCGTGGACTGTCAGCACGGCGACCATTACTTCGGCTTCCCTTGACAATGCAGCATAGAGAGAGATGGCGACTCTGGTGCGCCCAACGACAAAGCTAGATACAGGAGTGGCACAATGTCGTCTTTTGAGATGAGTCCCGGTTCTGCGTGCAGCATTCTGATGGCCGTATACATGTTTGGAGGCTTCGGGCAGACCACTCATCACCTGCTTGCATTTGATATTGGCTTAGGGGCCCTGCACTGGTGTGATGATATGGGCAGCCATTGGGCACACGACACGCACATCTCTAGTTCGGATCGATGGTAATTTGAATGCAGATAGGTACATTTCTGACATCTTACGTCCAGTGGTTGTGCCCTATCTTCAAGGCCTGCAAAATGCCATCTTCCAACAAGATAATACAAGACCTCATGTTGCACGTCATGTTCTTACCTTCCTCAATACAGAAGATATTCAATTGTTGCCCTGGCCTGCACGGTCTCCAGATCTCTCACTAATTGAAAACATCTGGTCATGGGTTGCTGAGAGACTGGCCTGCCACCCCTCTCCTGCTACTACAGTTGATGAAGCATGGCATAGATTTGAAGCAGCATGGAATGAGTTGCCTGTTTCTGTCATCCAAGCCCAGTTCGACTCCATGCTTAAACGGATAAGGGCGGTTTTAGCCGCCGGGGGTGGCAACTGTGTCTACTAATTTTGCGCCCCTGTAAACCCCCAAACTGCTTGAAAATTTAATCATTTTGTCTTTATGCCATACTGTTTATGTACAATAAATATCTTTTTTTTTTATTTGCTTTCCTTCTTGGCGTTGCAATTTTAATGGCCAGCAGTGTACATTATGTTATGGTGGGCCATAAGAAAAATTACTGAAAACTTTTCTCTAGCTAGAAAGTTTGGAAAAGACTAATAGAACAACCTAATACATGTAAAAATGCCAATAAAATACATTAAAATGTTAAATCAAAAAATAAAATCTCTCTAGACCAGTGGTTCCCAATTATTCTCACTTCCTCAGCCATATCTTTACAAATATAAACAAAACACCATACTCTTGCTGAGCTTATTATTACTTTAATTTCAAACGTTTTCAGCCCAATTTCAATAGGCCATCTTCAAGAACTATTCGAATACAACTTTCGAATAACTTTTAAATTTAAACTTTTAACATAAACTGTAACTATTAACTATTTAACATATTTTTAAATATCACCGTAAACCATTAAATATTTAACTAAAAAATTTTAACATATTATATGATAAACATAAATAATATAAAATAATAAAAATATATATAAAAAATATAAAGCTTACTATAACAAAA